ACTTGAAATGCCCTTAAACAATTCGGGAAACAACATTTCTAATGAAGAGAAAGACAAATGACCTAGCCTAGCATGCCACAGATGCAACCTATCTATTGACTCCACACTCTCCGAACTACTAGCAGTAGATACTTGTAAGGCTGAACCGATGTCTGCATCAAAATAGTAGAGGCCTCCATACTCACGACCGCTCCCAATCGTTCCCCTCGTCAATCTGTCCTAGAAGACACAATGAGTAGGAAAAAAGGTTATACTACAATTCAAATTTTTTGTAAGTTTTGAAATAGACCAAAGATTTGAGGTAAGACTGGGAACATGTAGAACTGATGATACGAAGAGAATACTAGGACTGCTGAAATCAGTCCTCAACTAGACAGTTCACTTGAGCTTCGAGTACTTCAACTGTAAAGAGAGTTCTCCCCCTTACGGCCAATACTAGGACTGCTGAAATCAGTCCTCAACTAGGTCTGTCCTATACAGACCTCTCTTAGYAGYYGAATWGMTRCTAACTACTAGRAACAGTCTAGTAGGACATCAGCTTCTGGGTCTTACTTCCCTTGCGCCCTACAACCAAGGGAAACCCTAGGTTCAAACCTTGTGTTGTTCTCCTACAACCCTAGGGTTTCACGGAAGCAACCCAGATAAAAAAGGAAAAGAAAGACAGCAAGAGAGAAGAGATGGCGTCGGCTGTAACCAGGAAGGTGCCTAAAGCTCTGATACCATGAAAGCTGAAATGTTGTAGCCAAAGCAATAGAAGAGAGAAGAAGACCAAGAGATGCTGAGAATGTCGAACTGAATGACCCAGTCGACAGTACTATTATTTATATTAGAGTACAGTACAATGTTACAGGAAATGACTGGAATGCCCCAGATTAGTGATGGGACACTCATACAACTTAAAACACTAAACAAACTTAGGCCCATTAACACAAGCCCAGTACATAACAACTTAAACTCAAATACAGGCTAATAAGAACTCTTATCAGCCGAACCATCAATACATGAAAACCTTCAACCTAACAGGAACAAAAGCAGAATTTCTAGAATTAATTTGGAGGAAGAGGAGCTCTTAAGCTTTGTAGAGGTGTTAGGGTGTGAGATTAGAAGTTGGCCTATTACCAACCTTGGCCTACCTTTGGCCAAGGACAGAAGGATTCCGGAAGCCAGTGGTTGAAAGGTTTGCAAAGAAGCTGGCCACTTGGAAGAGAACTTATTTATCTTTGGTAGGAAGAATTACATTGATTAGGACCACTTTAGCAAATCTACCCATATACTTTCTTTCCACCTTTCATATGCTGGCAAGGATAGCAAAACAATTAGAGAAGTTCATGAGGGATTTCCTTTAGGAACCAGGGGAGGAAAAAAAGGATCACTTAGTCAAGTGGGAACAAGTTAGTAAGCCAAAAGAGCAAGGGGGTCTAGGATTAGGAAACATTGCCTTAGGAACACCGCATTGTTGGGTAAATGGTTATGGAGATTTCCCTTTGAAAGAGATAGGTTGTGGCACAAGGTAATTGCAAGCATTCATGGTCTAGAATCTAGATTGCAATGGCTGGGATGCTAAATTGGCTCATCACTCCACTTCAGCCTCTCCTTGGAAATCTATTCACGAAGTCTACCCTACATTCTCTAGTTCCATCCGTTTTGATGTGGGAAAGGGCAATAGAATCCATTTCTAGGAAGACCTTTGGGTTAGGGAATCACCACTCAAAGGTCAATTCCCTGACCTTTATGCCATTTCTGACTTCAAGAATGAAACCATTTCTAATTTGGGTGTGGCTTCCCATTCAGGTATCAACCGGAACCTTGGTTTTAGAAGAGGCCTTAGGGATAGAGAGTGTATCTTATTGACTGATCTCCTTGGAACCTCGTAATCAGTTTACTTAGACCCCAATTTGGAGGATTCTAGAATCTAGGTAATCTCCCCAAATGAGTTCTTCTCTTGCTCCTCTTTCTTCAGTGATCTTGCTTCTACTAGAGGCCCCAAGGGGTGGTTCTCCCAATGAAAGAAATTTGGATCAGATCTACCCCGCCAAAAATCCAAGTTTTCTGTTGGACCCTTTTCCTTGGTAAGGTAAATACATGTGACTTGCTGCAGAAAAGGAGGCCATCCACTTGCCTCTCTCCTCATATGTGTTTTCTTTATAGGGATGGTGGAGAGTCCCTCTCCCACTTATTGATATCCTGCTCATTTGTACGTCGTATTTGGGAATTTTTCTGTTCTTTCTTTGGCTGCAAATGGGCCCTCTAAAAGAGGTGACAAACATTTTCAATCCTAACTTCTCGAGACAACCAAAGAAGAGAGGGAGAATAATGTGGAAAGCTACCAAAGCAATTCTTGCTTGGGGAGTCTGGGAGGAAAGAAATAACAGAGCTTTTGCCAGAAAATCTAGAACTTCGGAAGAGGTCATTGACAGCATAAAACTGAGGGTCGCATTGTGGATAAAAACCTTAGACAGTTTTCAAGTTTTCTCTGTAACTGACATCCTAAGGGCATGGAAAGAAATAGCACAATCCTCTAGAGACAAGGAAACTCTAAGAGTCAAGTGGAAACCGCCAAAGGTTAACAAAGTAAAACTCAATTTTGATGGAAACTCTATGGGCAACCCGGGAGTGGCAGGAATTGGAGGAGCAATCAGAAATGCAGAATGCAAGAATATTGGCTCTACATTCTAGGCCAATTGGTATTACAAACTCAACAAAGGCTGAATTACTGGCTTTATTATAGGGCCTTCGATTGGCAAAACAAATGGGTTTTCGTCAGGTGGAAGTGGAAGGGGACTCAAAAGTTGTAATCTCTTGGGCAAGAAGTAATAGGCAAGTCCTATGGACCCTCAAGCATATCTTCAGAGAAGTGGAAAGATTATCAAAGGATGACTTTTGGGTGGATCAGGAGGAGTGCAAATGGGTTAGCAGATACTCTAGCCAAACAAGGGGTTGCAAGGCAGCATCTGTGTTGGGCCTCGTTGTAACTTTGGTTGTAATCCTTGGGGATGACTTTTGGGTCATTGGTCTGTAATTAACTCCACATATTTTAATTAATGAAACAATCTTTTTTTCTGATCAGAAAAAAAGAGGGGATTCAAAGTTGGTGGTGGGCATTTCTTGGACAAGATGCAGTACACAAATCCCTTGGGTTTTCTGGTACAAATTTAGGGAGATTGTAAACTTAATAAGGAAGTTAAATGTTTCTTTTAAATGGGTGAGAAGAAGAGCAAATGGTTTGGCAAACGCTTTAGCTAAACAAGGGGCTTTAAGACAGCAGTTTTGGGCAAATCTGTGATCTCTTGTTGTTTGGGGTGGATTTTACACCCACCCTCTTGTAACTCTAAATTTGCCTTAATTCAATTACTTTCTACTGATCAGAAAAAAAAAATGGTGGTGGGGTGGCTAAAGGAACCAGAGTCTATAATTTGGTGTTACAAGGATGAGATGAACTTTAAATCGCTCGTTAGAAATATGAATTTGAGGATGCAATAGGTGAGGAGACCAATTAATGAGATGGTGAATAACCTAGCTAAGCAAGGGCTGAACAAGGATCAATTGTATTGGGCTCAGTTGTAATCTGTAATTTTTTCTTATTATGAGGGGAGAGGTTGCATCTTGTGCCTCACTAAGGGATGCTTGTATTGTCTATATTTCTTGATTAATAAAATTTCCTTTTACTTATCTTTAAAAAAAAAAATTGTGTGAAGAGGTTATGCTTTAAGACTGAAGAGCATGGTGAGCTTCTCATTTTTATGTATTTTTAGACAGTCGGTCTGAATGATGATGCATCCGAAATTTGGTGAGGTGGAAAGTTCTCTCTCTTCCTTTTTTTTGTGGTTGATTAGCTCATGTATAATCTACATGTTTATTTTTTTGTGGGTTAATTTGTTATTCGGTTTGAGCATTTTCTCAACACTCTTCTATACTTTCTTTTAATTTTCTTTATTTTCAATAAATGCTTTTACTTACTGTAAAAAGTTTACTCAACACCACCACAACCAAACTCAACAAAAAAAATAAAAAAAAAAAGTTTTACAATTTAAACATCACATGGAATAAGCAATTAATGAAAGTCCACATGCAACATAAAGTATATAACACCATTACAAGGCACCGCCTTCATTGCTGAGTCTCTTTTTTCATGTTCCTGCTTGTCTGCTACTTCTGTCTGATGTTTTGTGGTTGTTTATACTGTATATAGATTCCAAATCATTTCCATCTTCTGTACTTTCTTCAGCTTCTTTTCTCTTCCCAATCTTTATCAATATTAATCAAAAGAAAATGTCACACAGTATTCTGCTACCCTGTTAACATCATATCAAGAATAACTACTCAAAGAGACTAAAGTAGTTTTAAAAAAGTTTTTTTCCTTATGTAACAGTCACACACTGACATTGACAATATTAGAAGCTATTGCTTTTGACAATCAATTTTCCCACCGAAGAAAAATGTTATTTATTATTCTGGATATAGCATTTCAAGAAAGCAACAACCTCACTAATCAGCATATTGGATGTCATAGAACTTCTGAGACAAATTAAAGAAGATAGGTCATAAACTTCAAAGTTAATAGTTGCACATCCTGCTGTCAACAGGAAATAATAAAGCACAATAAAATTGGATGCCATAAAACAAAAAAAAAAAGAATAATAATAATAATGATAAGGAGACTCACTCATCCTCTGAATCAGTAAAAAGCACCCGATTTGCTACAGCTGCTGGAGGTGGCTTATGTGGAAATAGTGCTGAGTTAAACAGTGGAAAAAACCTCTGTGCTAACTTTGCAATTTCTTTTGGAACAGGTGCAACAGATTGCTTCTTGGTACTTTCAACAAGTGAAGCAGCTAAAGTCTTCTTAGGTTGTTGATGAGCAGGCAAAGAAGACGGTACTGTATTGGGACCTTGAGGGGTAGCCCCTCTAGAAACTCCAACATTAGCCTCAGGAAATGAATGAAAATTAGGAAGAGGAAACAGTGGTTCTCTCTCAAAATGATTAGCAAATTGAGCTTCAACATGGCGCTGTTGATACTTTTGAGCAGCTGTCAAAACAATTTGAAAAAAAATATATATATAAATATCAAACCGTTGAGAAAGCATAGCATTCCATTTTAAGCCAGGTTTATTCTGAGATCTGTTAACTTGACCTACCAACAGAAACATCAGTCATGTATCCCCCAACCAAATTAAGTGGAGCTACATCAAGAATGGATAGTATGGGACCACTTATCAGAGGCATCCACAAAGAAACATCTCTAGCTAGAGAGGAATCCACTTGTCTATCATAAACATTCTCATCATGTCTTCCTTCAGAATGAGAAGAGTTAAGAGAAACTGCCATAGTATTATTATTTGTAGAAGGGCAATCACTTTGCACATGGGATGGGAAAGAAGAATCACCAGTGTGCTGCACCTGACGAAATTTGGGAAGCTCATCTGAAACTGAAGGATGAATATAAGGAGGGTAAAAGAAAATTCCAGGATATGGTATATTCCTCCGAGCTAATTCATCATTGCGTTTATGAACCACCTCTGAAATCATTCTCTGAACTTCACTTGCAATGTGTTGTCGAGAGGGCTCAAGCACACAAAGAGAGAATACCTGAATAAGAAGTTGTATGTGTTCATGTATTAGACAATACAATTGCCCTATTTGATGAGGAGTAAAACCGTTTATTGAATCCACTTGGGCTGAGGAAGGAAAACGCAGGCCACCCTCAGGAGTAATCCTAGACCAATCAACAGCAGAGGGTTCCATTGGTTTGTTCGGCACAAATGGCAGTAGAGGGCGTAAAGGTCTCTTGACCTGTCCTAAAAGCTTTCTTCTATTTTGAACAGAAACTTTTTGCCGTTTATTTTGCCTAGTCTCAGGCCTTCGACCAACTCCCTCATACTTTTCTTTCTGATCTTTATCCTGTGTAGTTTCATCAAGGTCACTTTCCAGTGCTTCCTCAATCTCTATATCAAAGTCTGCATCATTTTCTTCATCTTCATCATCAACATTTTCATTTTCCCGTGTCATTGAATGACCTTCACCATCTCCACCCTGTAAAACAGCTGTGAGAAATTTCCGGTATTCTTCTTCATCATCAACATTCTGAAGGTCGTCATCATCATCTGTTTCCTGAAGAAAAGTCTCCAATTCATCAAGTGTAAAATTGGCAAGTGAATAACGGGCTCTGGTTCGTCTGCAGATAGCATCTTCATCATCTAAATCGATTATGGGATTTCTGGTGTTTTTTAGATCTGGCAATTCTCCATTAATAACATCAATATTGGAATCAGATTCACTGATTGAAGCATTTTTCTTTCCTGAAGAAGTTCCCATATTTGGTTGATCCAAAGCCGATGTCCTATTACATTTTCCTGGAACAACTTCTTCCGACTCTTTTGTAGAATCTCCTTCAGGAGAAACTCTAGTTTGCATCACAACTTCCTCATCATTATCAGAATCTCTGCCGGCAATGTCCTGCATCTTATTGGTTAGTTCTGGTAATAAATTACTATTCTTGGAGGCAGGAGGACTTGCTGCATTGTCCACCACATCAGCACCTAAACCTTCATTTTCAGAGCTCAAGCTAGAAGAGGCTTCTGATGGACTTTCCTTGAGAAAAGGATTGAAATCAACATCTTCATCTTCATCTTCCTCAGGCTCCAAATGCCCTTCACCGTCTTCAGACAAATTCGCATTAGACATGGATGATTTCTGATGACTGCCACCCCCCTCTTCCACACTTTGTACATTTGAACATGAAGACATATCGAAGAAACAATTAAATTTAACCCTGGATTCTTGGACACTTAAGACTGGTTGCCATCCTGACCATCTACAAGAAGCAAACTATAGCCCTGGTTGCCATCCTGCATTAGAAGAAACAGCAAAAAAGCATCTTAAAAAATGTGAAGTATTTGAGCCATAAATAATTCAGGAGAACAGGTCTAGCAGATCTATTCTAGTGATTTTTACAGCAAAAATCACCCAAACTGCTTGAGAAATTCGAGAGAATGAAGACAACAAAGTGAAGATAGAAACAACTTTCTTAAGCTTGAAGTAATTGAATATCCTCCTTTTTCTTCTTTGAACAGCAGCTAATAATGTTCTTATATAGGGGTTCTATTTAGGTCGGCAGCCAATAAAACCCTGAAATTATAAAAAATACCCGTCCCAAAAGAGTAAGGAAAACCCAAAAATATACTTATCATTAATTGAGTGAGAAACAACCTAGAAAATCATCAAAACAAAATTAAAACAAGAAAATAGCTAAAGCATGTGAATGCTCACTTTCTTGTTCCTTCTAGATTTGTCACGCGTTTCTTCATAATTAAATGCTGCAGCCTCTACATCAGTAAACCACTAAGAGAACCAGTATGATTAAGTGGTCCATTTCATCTTATCAAACTCTAAAGGACTTTTCTTATCAGAAAAGAGATTTTATTAATATATGAAAGAGGAACAGTTTGAGATTTTCCATACACCCAAGAAAAAACAAAGGATTCACACTAACAATATAATCTTAGAACATATACCAAAGCAGAACACTAATATAATTAACTATGACTGCATGTAGAATATTGGTAAAGTGTCTATCCACTTCTAAATGCTTCGTCCTATCATGCTAAACTGGGTTGCGGGCAATGTTAATTGCTACTTGATTTCACAATATAGCATAATAGGTTCTTCGGCCTCAAATCCAATCTCCCCTAACAAGGAACGGATCCAGAGGAGCTCTGAAACACCATGTGCCATGGCTCTGTATTTAGCTTCTGCACTTGACCTTGCCATAACTGTTTGTTTCTTGCTCTTCCATGAAACTAAATTACCTCCAACAAGAGTGCAAACTCCTGATGTAGATCTTCTGTCATCTAGACACCCTGCCCAATCAGCATTTGTGCAAGCCTTTAACTTACACTATCCATGGTCAGCAAACAATATGCCTTTATATGGGTGTCCCTTCCAATAGTAAAGTATCCTGTTAATAGCCTCTCAATGCTGAACTCGTGGGGCATGCATGTATTGACTTACCACACTAACTGCATAAGAGATGTCTGGTCATGTCATACATAAATATAGCAACCGCCCCACTAACCTCTATTACCTTCCAACATCCTTCACTAGTTCACCTTCTGAAGCATTTATCCTATAGTTTTGATCAATAGGTGTATCAGTTACCCTTGCCCCAAGTTTTCCCGTCTCCTATAATAGATCTAGAACATACTTCCTCTATGAGATGAAGATCCCATGCTTGGACCTTGCCACCTCAATGCCCAGTAAGTACTTCAGCTCCCCATTCCCCAAGATCCTTAGTCTCAAACTCTTTGTGCAAATTCTTCTTCAAGGTATCAATCTCACTCAAATCATTTCCTATGACTACAATGTCATCCACATACACTATCAACACTGACACCATTGACCCCCTCCTCTTCACAAAAAGAGTATGATCATATTGAGTTTGAGTTTAGCCAAATACAACCAATGTACTTCTGAACATGTCAAACCAAGCTCTAGGTGATTGCTTCAAACCATATAGAGACTTTTTCAACCTGCATACCTTTCTTTTTTCCACATCATTATAGAAGCCAGCTGGAAGATCCATATACACCTTGTTACGATCCATTTGTCCCATATTGGTAGTATGGGATGCTAATGTGAGGTATCCCACATTGGTAGAATGGGATGCCGATGTGGGGTATATATGTGCTTGGGTTCCCTCCCTCTAACGGCTAGCTTTTAGGGGTGAGTTCTCCTAAGGCACATAACACACCTCTTGCAAATCCCCATTGGAGAAAAGCATTCTTCACATCATTTTTCCACATCAGCCTTGTACTTCACTGTATAAACCCATCTGCATCCAATTGTCTCCTTGCCATCAGGTAAAACCCACAATCTCCCAGTATGATTTTTAATCAATGCTTTCATTTCCTCCTACATAGTTGTCTTCCACTCAGGCTTGGAAAGAGCCTCACTAACACTCCTAGGTATAGACACAGAGTCAAGGAAGGAAAGGAAGGCTCGGTAGGACCGTAGGAAGGAGATAATCCACGGTAGGAAAAATAGTATGAGATACAATGAACAATACACTTCCTCTTCCCTTTTCTGAGTGCAATAGGGAGATCGAGGTCATCTGCAACAGTGTTAGGAGCAAGGGTAGTAGTATCAATAGGAACTAAACCATCAGAGGAAACAAGAGGCATACCTAGGTCTGGTTCAGTTGAACTTGAAATCTCTGATGAGCCGATAGGGAGTGACGTGGGTTCCTCTGCTATGGAATCACCCTCCCTGTGTTGTCATAGGCGCTGCCGTGTAAAAAATTGAGAGACAGGATGCAATGGAGGTGGCAACGTGGGTGGAGTAGGTGGGTTAGACACTGGAGTGGACAAAGGAGCTGGAACAGGAAGTGGTATAGATTGCTCACTTCCTTCTCCAAAACACTCCCCCTAAGAAGAACCCCCTGAGAAAAAGGTGTGGACTCAAAAAAGGTGACAACCATAGCAACATACCAACTCCCAGAGACCGGATCATAACAACAATACCCCTTCTGATTCCCGCATACCCAAGGAAGACACGTTTGTACAAACTTGGGTGGGGAATGCACCTCTTAAGGACCAATTTCCTTCTTTGTATGCACTTTTTGATTTTAAGAATAAGCCAGTTTCCTCCATGACCCCTTCCTCTTCCATGTCTGGGTTTGGGTGGAATTTGGGTCTAAGAAGGGCTGTGAGAGACTCCAACCTAGACAATATTTCGAGTCTCCTTATTCTTGATAATGTTTTCTTGGACCCTACTAAGGAAGACTCTAGAATTTGGACCCTCACCCCTACTGGCTTTTTCTCCTGTGCCTCTTTCTTTAAAGTGCTATGCCAGCCTTCCAATCTTGTAACCCCCCCCCCTTCCCTGTTAATGAGGTTTGGTGTAGACCAATTCCTCCCAAGGTTGGTAGTTTTTGTTGGGAAGCCTTTTTGGAAAGATTCAACACTGGTGATCTGCTCCAAAAGAAGAGACCCAATGCTTGTTTGTCCCCTCATTGGTGTGTTTTTGTAAAGCTAATGGGGAGACCGGTTTTCATCTTCTAGTGTCTTGCCAATTTGCAAAGTCTATGTGGGAGTGGGCTTTATCTCTTTTTGGGTGTACTTGGATTCCGCCATCAAATTTGCAAGGCCTTTTTGCTCCTTTTTTCAGGTGGCAAACGAAAAGGGGAAAGACTATGTGGAGAGGACTGAGGGCAGCAGTATGTTGGTCTTTGTGGGAAGAAAGAAATTCTATAATCTTCTCTGATGTAGAGAGAGGGGCTGAAGAGTTGAGGGCCCTGATCCACATAAGGGTTATTCAGTGGATGAAGTCCCTAGAGCTGTTCACGGAATATTCAGTAGATGACTTGCTGAGGAAGTGGGGTGAGATTGCTAGCTGTACCCAGATTAAAGCAGGGATGAGTGTGTCTTGGACTCCCCCACCTATGGGTTTCATGAAACTAAACTTTGATGGAAGTAGCAAAGGGAACCCCAGACAATCAGGAATTGGAGGTGTCTTCAGGGATGAGAATGGGGTTGTTTATGCCATGTTTTCAGGCCCAATTGGTGTGGGTGACTCTCTCAGAGCTGAGATCTACACAGTTTTGGAAGGTGTCCAGAAAGCTAGGGAGATGAAAATTAGAAAACTCATAATTAAAGGGGACTCGAAGGCGGTGGTTGGGTGGCTGAACAAAGAAGATAGCAGCTTATGGAATTATAGTAATTTGAAGAGAAAATTCAGATGGCTGGTTTGAAAAATGAAAGTTAAAATTAGTTGGGTTAAAAGGTCAGCTAATTCTTTTGTTGATGGACTAGCTAAACAAGGGGTGGACAGGGATGTAATGTTCTGGGCAAAGATGTAATTTAAATTTCTTCGTTTTTGTTCTCTCCTCTCTTGCTTCCTCTTTTGGGGCTCTTGATGTTGCTGGAAGACAAGAAAGTTTTGTCTTCCTCTCTGTAACTTATTGTGATAATTAATGAATTATGTTATTGATTAAAAAAAAAGGAAGACACATTTCTTTGCCTTAAGATCCAGCTTTGAGCAATGAGGACCAAGAACATAGACAAAGCGTACACATCCAAACACCCTTAAAGGAATATGGAACGTCTCCCCCTAAGGAAAAAAAAAAAGTTGAACAGAGTGCTATATCCAAGAACACGAGAAGACACCCGATTAATCAAGAAAATTGTTGTAAGATCACTCCAAAAACGAACTGGAACAGTAGAGCTCAACATCATGCTTCTTACTACTTCCACAATATGCTTGCTCTTCCTTTCTGCTACACCATTCTGTTGTGGAGTGTCTATAAACTGCTCTGATGGACTACTCCATGCTCCAATAGGTATGATGCCTAATTTTTTTCAAAATATTCCTTAGCATTGTCTGATCTAAACACTTTCACTCATACCAAAATTGTGTCAGCACCATTTAATGGAATTGTTGAACCAAAGACGATACCTCATCACGAGATCTTATCAAATATATCCAAGAGTATCAAGAATAATCATCCACAAACAGAAGAAAATACTGATAGCCACCCATAGAGGAAACATGGTGTGGCCCCCACACATCAGTATGAACAATATCAAAAATGGAAGAACATCTTTTATTACTCACTTTAAAGGAATGTCTACAATGCTTTCCAAGTTGACAACCCTCACACTCCAAGCTGGAAAAACTGACAGACTCAAACAATTTTGGAAACAAAAAAACACAAAGAAGCAAAAGGCAAATGCCTTAACCGATTATGCCAAAGCATAATTTGACTCACTGACTTTGACTCAATGTTCCTGCTGACATGATGACTCTGATAACTGGGAAGCGTATCAAGAAGATAAATTCCATTCACCTCACG